CCTTGGCCCACAAGAATTAGAAGACACCCTTGGGCCTAGGGCAACTATAGCTCCCTTTGAAGACTAATATAGTGACATTTTGTTTTGTGAGTTAGTATCACTGTGCTTGATAACCATTAATCAGTATTGTAGGGCATAATGGTGATTCCACCAAGACACAGACACACAATGAGGTCTAACCTGAGAAAGCCTTACCATTAGAGGAGAAATTTAGTGAGAGCCTGAGTCAAAAATGTAATCAAAGGGAGAGGAAAATTACAGCAATGAATGCATAGGACGAACCTGGGAACATTCCTTTCAGTATCAAACTTCTTTCTTAGCTCCTATTTTGGAGGCTGATAATGGTTTTGTTACCTATCTTGGAAAATGTTTGTATTTTAGCAGATGCCTCTGACGTCTCCATCCATGTCTTTAGCCCACATGATAATGTGGGCCATCAGGTACAATGGTAGGCAGGATTAAAGCAGAATGGCCTGACGGAAAATCTCAACTCCCTTCATGTAAGCAAGTGCTTACTCCACCTACTTAACAGTCACATATATTCCTGCATATCTGAAAATAAAAGATATAACCATCATAAATTCACAGTCAAAGAGTAAGTCATTAAGATTTCTTAGCAGGGCACAAAAGAGGCCATGAAAAAAAAATTTCATCTGAAATTAGGGATTCCTTGCTTGACTAGTAAGTTTGCACTTGGCAACATTTTATAAGTCTCCTGAATAAGCACATATGTCATAGACTGAATTGTGTCTCTCCAAAATTCATTTATTGAGGCCCTAACCTCCACTGTGATGGTATTTGGAGGTGGGGCCTTTGGGAGGTAGTTAGGTTTAGATGAGGTTATGAGGGTGGAGGCTCCATGACAGGATTAGTGTCCTTTTAAGAAGAAGAAGAGAGATCAAAGTTCTCTTTCTTTCTTCTCTATGTGAGGACATGACAAGAAGGTGGCTGTTTGCAATTCAGGAAGAAAGTCCTCACTGGGGAACCAAATCAGCTGGGACCTTGATCTTGGATTTCCTAGAACTGTGAGAAATAAATTCCTATTGTTGAAGCCACCCAGTCTACAGTATTTTCTTATGGTAGCTTGAGCTAATACAATGGGTATCTTTAAACACACACACACAACAAAAACAACAACAATAATAGCCGCAAAAAAAATAAGATGATCTACTCACATGACCTTAAGACTCATCTACTAAAATCTATCACTGTGCTTGTGTCAGTTATCCAGTGACATCACTTGAGTGATACAGGCTTCAAACTGATATTCTGCCCACAGGGAACTGATTAAATACTAAACCATGAAAATCTGGGTCATTCATTGGGAAGTCAGGAGCAAGGCAAGAGCTAGGCTGGAGAGTCCACTGTCAGATGTCAAATCTAAAAAGCCACTGGATCAATGCCAAAGGCTGGGATTGGAGAGTAAGAAGAAGACAGTATCTGGATACTGCCTTTAGGTCAAACAAGTCAGATGAGACTTATATAGGAAGACAAACTACCCAATGGTGCATTTAGTCCCACATTCCTATTCCCCAGTGGAAAAAGACCTCGTGATAATAAATGTCATTCTATAAGTAAATTTGGGGATGGGTAGGTATACATCTGCTATAGTGACAAGAGTATGAATGTTAAACCATAACATATACAATTACATCTTAAAGTCTAGTTAAGGGAAAATCATAAGCCAAAAGTGCGGCTGATAAAAACGTGAGTTTCAACACACGCTGTAGGGTTAGCCCAACAACCACAGCAAACTCAAGTGATCATTAACTTCAGTAGGAATTTTCATTAAAAACAAAAATAACAGCAATTAAAAACTATGACCAGCTTCAGACAACACGGATGATGTGCTGGACACAAAACATCTTTCCTCCAAATTGTAGGAATTCCAACTACAACTTGTTCGTGAGCATGCGCAGTAGAGCCCTGCAAATTGCCAAGTGCTTCGTGGCATGGACTTCTTAGAAAAATCTGCATCAGCAGGAAACCGTGGCCATGGGCTAATTTTAGTTTATGAACACCCCATTTTAGTAACTCAAACTCATTCAGTAGATAACTGCTAATAAGCAACTTATGTTAAAATAAAATGCTATGGAATTGTGAGTCATTTGCCAGGAAGAATCATGGAAAGGATTTGCATTTGGGGGAGTCTGGGGGTCCACTGCATAACTGAGAACCAGTGGCTGTTATGTGGGGGTTATGCTGTTAGCTGAACTGGAGCAGCTGGGCTCCTGGCTTAGCCTGCTGCCGGTGGTCCATAGCATTTCGGGACTCCTCCCTAACTCCTTGTTATCCTATGGCAGTTGGCTGGGAATCCCAGTAGGGTTTGGCTGCTCCGTGATGCTGCTTCTGCCTCCTTCTTAGGAGAGATAAATGATATTTTTGGCCACACCATTCCTGGGCTACAGCTCTCTCACATGTAGCCAGTCTATAAAAAGGGTATGATGATTAGGAAATAATGTCAAATTATTGGCAGCTATATACGACATGGACATGAGCAAAATTTTGTTTTTATGCCAGTTTCTAGGTGTGATATTTAAAATTTTTAAACATGATAGCTTACTCTAACAGAGCTTTAAAAGTATGATCTCAAAACCAGGAAGCATCAGTTCTACACTGATGGTGGGTATAGGCATTAATAAAATATGCTAAGAATGTAAACTTTTTGAAGATCAATTTCTAAGCTAAGTGTTTGATTGACGGATTAAAAATCCTGAGCAAAGTTAGCACTTTGCTAAAACTGTTCCACGTTTATTAAGCCAGATGTGTTGATCCTCTGCCTGTTGTGAAAGACTATTTAAGCCAGATAATGTATTTTCCAAGTTGAAACATTTATTTTTTACTTAAATGCAAAACATTTAACAAGTATCTGAAGAGACAAAAGCTCTAATAATAGGGAATGATAATAGGATAGTTTACAGTATATGCTAACACCTGTATGTGGTATATTTGCCATCATGTAGTCCAAATGAACACAGCATATAAACACATATCAGAAATCCTAAGGTAATATTCACTTCTAGGACAACAGCAGAGGCCATAAGCAAAATAAACTGCATTACCAGACGTCCATGTACTCCTAAAAAATGTTTATAATTTCTTGCAAAAGAAACGTACCGGCTGCTTCAGGATGTGGGTGAGACAAGCATGTTCCTGTGGTAACAATTTCCCAAACAAGAAAATAGTTAAAAAGACAAATCTTTGCTAAGCTGCAGACTACCAGGTCTCCTGATTTATGAAAGCAACAAGATAGAGCTGGTTAAGAAATAACTCAGAAATATTTCATGAATCAGCAAAATCTGTCAAGTAAAATGACTTCTGAATTTACAATGCAAAGAAATACCTTCACATAGTTTGACACTGTCAAAGCATTTTATTATGTAGCGTTGAACTTTAGGTTGACATACTAGATCTAGAATATTCTACAACCATGCAAAATAAATATGCACATATGTCCCGTAAGGTTCTGGCCAATCCTTAATAAATAATCATTATTTTAGTGATCTAAATATAGATTCATCCAATTAAAATATGGTGTACATTTAGTTTCTCATAATCTCATTTTCTTTCCTTCTTTTTAAAAATAAGCTTGTCTTCTTCAATAGTTACATATTTTACACTTTGCCCTGTTCATTGTCATTCATTCATTTTATTCGTGAATCCTTTCAACAAACATTGAGTATTTGCTAAATACCAGCAGATGATTGGGTCGAATCATCTTTTCTTTTTTTTTAAAAAAAAATTTATTTATTTTTGGCTGCATTGGGTCTTCGTTGCTGCGCGTGGGTTTCCTCTAGTTGCGGTGAGTGGGGGCTACTCTTCATTGCAGTGCGTGGGCTTCTTATTGTGGTGGTTTCTCTTGTTGCGGAGCACGGGCTCTAGGCTTGTGGGCTTCAGTAGTTGTGGCATGCAGGTTCAGTAGTTGTGGCTCGCAGACTCTTAGAGCACAGGCTCAGTAGTTGTGGCTCACAGGCTTGGTTGCTCCGTGGCATGTGGGATCTTCCCAGATCAGGGCTCGAACCCATGTCCCCTGCATTGGCAGGCAGATTCTTAACCACTGTGCTGCCAGGGGCCAAGCTTTTCTTTTTTTCATGTTGAATTTACTACTCTTCTGAAACTCATTCAATAATATTTCTAATAATTAAAAGCCTCATTCTTCACCCCATTGCTGATGATCTACCCAGAACTTCTATCCCATAGCCATTCATTTCACATCTTTCCCACTAAAAGTGAGATGAAGTGGGGTAGGGAGGACAGGATGGTGAGGAAAGAAACTGGTACATATTATTTGCATCCAACACTCAGTGCACTTGGTTAAGTGTTTAACACATATTACCTTAAATAAGTTTCACAACAACAAAAGAAGGTAATCATATTATTATCCCCATTTCATATATTGTGAAACCGAGACTCTTAGCACTTAAGGGACTGGCCACCTAAGGTCTCACAGTTAGCAGTTGGCAGTGCCAATAATGGGACCTTGGCCTGTTTACCCCAAAGGTTTTTCAGCAGCTCTTCTAAGAAGCATAGTTGGCACCCCATACCTTTTAAAAACTCATTGAATAAAATTTTGTTTGCATCTATGCTACTTGGAAAACTCAGACCTCCTCTTCTTCCATTTTCCTTCAAAACCAATATGCTATTTAGATAAATTACTAGAAAAATACATTTAACCAGGGGTTTTGAAGCAAGGTAGAAAGCTCACACAAAGAAAATTGCTAATGAATAATTAAAAACTTTAAAATCCTGAAATCTAACTATTGAATTATGTGTAATTTTTTTTCAGACCACCCTCTAGTATTACTGGAAGTAACAGATAATAGATTACAAATAGGTTAGGTATTTAAAAGTTAGTACTATAAATACAAATTAAACAAAGGGAAAATAAAATGCCCTGTTTTATTAGTAGAGATGAAAAGAAATAATATCACAAAATTAATGCTAAAGCAACACTATTTATTATGTTGCATTCTCTTTAATTATTCCACATCAGTAGGTACCTTATATTCTTCATAATCATTGTTATCTAGCAAGTCCCTTTTCTCCAGTTCTATGAGCTGTTCTGCAGAGAGCTTAGCTGGCAGATGCTTAAGAGACGCTTGCTCATATATGGGCTTTCCATTAAAAAACAGTTCCTTCCAATCATGCATCAACTTATATGGAATCAGGCTACAGCAAAAAAGAAAAAAAAAAGGTCGAGAGGAATCAATGGTTAGTTAAATACACATCTTAAATCTTAGTCTTTCTATTACCATGTTCATTCACCAGGATCTGCTATTTGAGGCCAGAGGTTCCTCTTACTATGACATTTCTAATAGCCAGTAAAATGGCTGAAACTTAGTAGGTTTGAATGAATAAATGTTACCTAAAGCCATTGGTTCTTCAAATTTTCTTTGATTGCGCACTGAAAGCACAATATATCTAAAAATACTGACGACTGGGCTTCCCTGGTGGCGCAGTGGTTGAGAGTCCGCCTGCCGATGCAGGAGACACGGGTTCGTGCCCCGGTCCGAGAGAATCCCACGTGCCACGGAGTGGCTGGGCCCGTGAGCCATGGCCGCTGAACCTGTGCGTCCAGAGGCTGTGCTCCGCAACAGGAGAGGCCACAACAGTGAGAGGCCCGCGTACCGCAAAAAACAAAACAAAAAACAAAAAAAAAAACAAAACAAAAAACAAAAAAAAAACTGACGACTATCACAAAACTTAGGTTCTTTGATTTCCGGCTGCGATACTAAATGGCTGTGCAAGCTTTGGAAATCAGTTAAATGCTCCAATATCAGTGCCCTCCTATGCAAAATGAACAGACTGAATACTTTCCAAGCCCTCTTTAAGATGACAGTTGGTTTACATATTTGCAAATAATTTGTAACAGAAAAAAAATCTAATGTTATGGTAGTCTTATTGTCATTGCACGTTTGGTAACCTGTGCAATTATTTTTCAGTACTTTTTCTATTTAAGTCAGATGAATGACTTGGTAATCAGGACAGAATGATGGGAAAGTAGTTCCAAGAGGAACAAAATGTGCAAAGGAAGGAAAGAGCCTGACATGATTCAGATGCATTTCTCTAAAAATAGTGGGACTAAAGCTTGAAACTGCAACTTAAAAAGTTGTATTTCATTCTGATACATGCTACAACATGGATAAACCTTGAAGACATTATACTAAATGAAATAAGCCAGACACAAAAGGACAAATATTGTATGATTCCACTTACATGAGGACCCTAAAATAGACAAATTCATAGAGACAGAAAGTAGAACAGAGGTTAGCAGGGCTGGAGGGAAGGGGAATGGGGAGTTATTATTCTATTTAATGGGTACAGCACTTCAGTTTGGGATGACGAAAAAGTTCTGGAGGTGGATGGTGGGGATGGGTGCACAGCAGTGTGACTGTACCTAATGCCAGCGAACTCATAAATGGTTGAAAACCACTTAAAAACGGTTAAAATGCTAAATTTTATGTTATGTATGTTTCTCCACCATAATAAAGTACTATTTCAATTAAATGTGAACTTCAAATATAATCATTGTTTTCCATTAATAAAATATTGATATTTGTTAAAGATTACTTTATAGAGATATGAAGTTTAGAAATTAATAGCTTAGGTATAGAAAAATTCTTTTTTTAAAAAATAAAACCCTATTTGTTTTTTTCTGGGTTTTTTTGTTTGTTTATTTTTGGTTGCAATGGGTCTGGGTCTTCGTTGCCGCGCACGGGCTTTCTCTAGTTGCGGTGAGCGGGGGCTACTCTTCGTTGCGGTGCGTGGGCTTCTCACTGTGGCAGCTTCTCTTGTTACAGAGCACGGGCTCTAGAGCGCAGGCTCAGTAGTTGTGGCGCACGGGCTTTGTTGCTCCGCGGCACGTGGGATCCTCCCGGACCAGGGTTCGAACCCGTATTCCCTGCACTAGCAGTCAGATTCTTAACCACTGTGCCACCAGGGAAGACCCACATAGAAAAATTCTAACATCAGAATTATTGAAATGGCATTGGCTCCTATGGTGAAGTAAATGATTAACAACTTATATATTGTCCAAAACTTAATGTTGCAATTACTGAATTAATATTCTATTATCTGAATATCAATTATTTTATTAAGGAGCAGTCTTAACAAAAGTCAGTTCATGTAAGTAGGCTGATATCAAGAATATCCCTGTGCTTTAGAAAGAAATACATATTGATAACATCTTGTTTAGGGAAGCACATAGAGAGAATAATGTGAGTTTATCTCGACTGTTAGTAGTGTAGACTAAAAAGATCTTAACATATACGTGTAATCATTGCATTCAGTTGCAAGTAAAAGACACTTATAATTTCAAAGTAAAAGACCCCTTCAAAGTTTAGGGTACTAATACCTCTGGAACTTTAAAATTTTTTGTATTTTTTCATTAAAATAAAAATGGCTTTATATAACCAATATATTCTCAATATTAATTTTCACGAAGCAGGATTTATAGAGTAATAAAAGGCAGACTATATATGAGTCTGTGAAATATATTAGTCAAACTCAATACACACAAGAGGTCCTCAACTTACTAATAAGTTGTGCTCTGTAAGGGGATTTTAGGTTACCTATTTGACATAGAAATAATACTTCTAGGACAGCTGGTTACCATCTGATTCCTTTCATGCTGGCCCCCAGCCAGTGCTACTGGGACTATCTCCACCACCTCTCCCAACAGAAGCATTCACGGAACTGGGATTTGAGGAATCCTTTTCCCACAGTCTTCTTTCCAGGCTCTCCCAGGCTCGTGTCATGGGGATCTCTGGCACTCTCTGACTGGCAGCGGCATGACCCTCTGCCGTCGTTGACACATGGTGTTCTCCCTGTGTGTCTCCTCTCTACTTCTTATAAGGACACCAGTCATATTTAATTAAGGTCCCATCCCACACGAGTATGACCTTATCTTAACTAATCTATCAGTAATGACTATTTCCAGATAAGGTTACACTCTGAGGTATGGGGGATTAGAACTTTAACATATCTTTCTGGGGGGACACAATTCAACCCATATATAAGCATCTATATATTGCCTTTTTAGACACTTAAAATTACAAAGTATTAATAAAATCTCCCTTAAAAGTTTATGATACCAATACCTCTAGAACTTTAATTTTATACACTCAGTTTTTACATTCAGTTTGAGCTCTTCCTGGTTGTTGGTATGATGCATGAGCTGTTATTGAAGTCTGCACACTTGTGGATTATGTTGCAAGACTCTGAATCTTGCATAAGCCTTCTGTTCTAGCTGTTTTTTTCTGACGTTGCTCAGGCAAGGGAAACAGAAGGGGCCACCGTGTTACTGGCAGGTGTGGACAGAAGTCCTCACGTGGCCTTCCTCACCACCTCAGGGGAGGGCATCCTTGTTACTGTAGGAGAAGGTAGCAGTTCTGGCCCTCCACATGGTCTCCACTGCAGTGTGGGTGGCCTTGTGACCACTGGGCAATGGTGAAAGTCCCGACCCTCCCTAGGCTTCTCTAACACCACCCCAGTAGGGAGGGGAGGAGTGGCCAGTACTGCCAGGTGGGGGTGGAAGTCCATGCTTCCTACTTGGCCACTGGGACAGCACCCTCGTGGTGTCCCAGAGGTCCCTCATTACAGCCTTGTGAGGGTGGAAGACAGGCTCTCTACTTGGCCTTTGCTGGCACGGGTGGGAATGGGGCTACATTTGTGTGTGTGTGTGTGTGTGTGTGTGTGTGCGTGGTATTTGGGGAAGAGTGGTTATTGTCTAAAAGTTTCACATCTTGCTAGTCTGCTCCTAAACTGGTTCTTTGACTAGAGACAGCAGGTTTCTGTTGGGGTTATTTTTTTTTTTTTTTTTTTTTTTTTTTTTTTTTT